CGCCACCAGGGAGGGCCTTTTTTTCTTTTTTAGAAAAGTTCTTTTTACAACTTTACTGAAATATAACTTGTATGTATCCCATGTAATTTAGCTTTAGGTGTATGTTTAGGTGGTTTTCATTATATTCACAAAATTGTACAACTGTCATCATTTAATTTTAGAACACTTTCAAATCATATCCTCAGAAAGTTTGTTTTTCTAATCCCCTATCTCCCTATTCCCAGCACTACTATTCTACTTTCTATCTTTGTAGATTTATCTACTGGACATTGTATACAGATGAAATCTTATAATATGTTGTCCTATGACCTGGTTTGTTTTTTTTTTTTTTTTTTTCATTTAGCCATTTGATGATAGAGCACAAATCAGGTTTTTTTTGGACTGAATGAGATTGGATGCACTTCATTTTATTTATCCATTCTTCCAGTGGTGGACACTTGGGTTGTTTGCAGTTTTTCTTTCTTAAGGTTTATTTATGTATATAGAACTAGGGTACAAGCCAGAGGTTCAGGGGGCTGTGAGAGGATCCACCAGAGACAGAGTGGGGAACAGAACAGGCATTTGACAGAATACACTGCTGAGGGGACCAGCAGGTAAGTCAGGAGGGGTCTGCTGGGCCATGTGGGTCAGCTCCTGGCTGGGGATTGAACAAGTGCTGAAGAGGCTGTGGCAAGCCTTATAGTGCTGGGCTTTACCCGTTGTGCCACTAGGGAGGGCCCACTTTTCACTGTTTTAAATATTGCTGCTGTAACAAGATGTGCACATGATTTTGTGTGAACACGTATTTTCAATTCTCTTGAACAAATATCTTGAGGTTGAATTACTAGATCTCGTGCAGTAGATAATTTCTTGCTTAACACTCCTCTAAATTCCATTTTATGAATCATAGAATACAGTTAAAAAATTTTATCTTCTATACTGTCACCTCTTTTAACATCATTTTTCTGAAAATATTGAAGAGAACTCAGTTCTTTGTTGCAATTTGATCACCATTTTGTTTCTGTTCCTCAATAATTTTGACTTAATTTTTAAAAACAAAATCTTTATTTTCACAGAGCCAAACAACAATTTTTGGCTTTCAATATAGTTGTTCAGATGAACTTTAACTTTTTTTTTTCTTTTCAACTTTTGCAATAATTGAGGCTACAATTTAGTTCATAGAAACAGTACTATATTCTTGTAAAATAGTTTCTCGTTGACATTTAGTTAGTATAAATTCTGTATTTCTCAATCCTGGCAGTCTCTTAGAATTCATTAAAACAACAATGACAAAACAAACAAACAAAACAATGACATACCACCTAATCAGAATCTCCAGAAATGAGTCTTAGAAATGTTTTAGAAAGCTTTATAGTTAATTTAATGCATAACATATGCCACACTCAGGAGACAGACATAGTAGCTTAAGAAGCATACAGTCTTATCAAACTAGAGAGAATAAGAGATCAGTAAAACTTCCTACTTTATATTTTAAAAAATATATATAAGAGCTATAATAGATGCATGGATGAGGTACAGTAGAAAGGAGAAAACTTAATCTAGATTGTTTGAGGAATGTGAAATTTGTGCTTTCTTGACGGATAAATTAAAAATAACTCAGGTAGAATGGAGTCCAAATGAAGGTCATTCTAGGAGAGAAAGCAGTATCAAAATATGTTCCATGAGGCCCTCCCTAGTGGCTCAGCAGGTTAAAGCACTGCACTAAGAAGCTTAAGCCACTTCCTCATGAGTTCGATCCCTGCCTGCCCCGGAGGAGATCCACATGGCGAGGCAGACCTCTCCCAACCCACCCGCTGCTCCCCTCAGCAGTGTACTTCATCCATCTGCCTGTTCTGCTCCCCACTGTGTTCCTGGTGAATTCTCTCACTCTCCGCATCTCTGGCCTGTACCCCAGTTCTGTATGAATAAATAAATAAATCTTTATTAAAAAAAAGTATGTTCCATGAAAGGTTTCTCAAACTGCTAAAAAGAGAGCTTCTGTATGACCCAGCAATCCCACTCCTAGGTATCTATCCACAAGACACATAAACACTGATTCAAAAAGACATCTGCACCATCATGTTTATTGTTGCTTTATTTATAATAGGAAAGACATGGAATCCATTCAAATGCTCAAAAGTAGATGACTGGATTAAAAAGATGTATATATATGCAATGGAATATTACTCAGTAATCAAAAAAGATAAACTCATGCCTTTTGCAGCAACATGGATGGAGCCAGACAGGATCATGTTTAGTGAAATAAGCCAGAAAGAAAAAAGAAAAATACCAGGTGGTTTCACTCATAGCAGGAGTATAAAGGACCAAGGGAAAAAATAATAACAACTGAGATAGAAAAAGGCACAAAATGATGTAAAAATGAACTGTTATATTATTAAAAAAAAATATGTTCCATGAAAGTGTGTAATCTTTTAAGGGAAATTAAAGAATTTTGTGTGATCACAACAGAAAGATTACAAATAAAAACGGTGGTAAGATCTGAAACTAGTAGAGCTAGTCAAAATCTCTTTCATAAAGAAATTTGTGTACTGAGCTAAAGAATTTAAATTTTATCTTCATCACTGTAGGAAGTTTGAATTTTGAGTGCAGGTTTTGTAGTGAAAAGTAAATATAAATACTACAGTGAAACATAGGGCCCAAAGAAAGCACTGTTATTTCGAAAATTAAAAATATAAATACTTATGCTATTGTAGATTTCTGGTTTGTGTTTATTTCCATGAATACAACTGTTTTGATGGGCTTTAATAGCTAAAGTAGAGAGGTCAAAAGGAAATAGGTTAGTAAGAAGGAATGGGAAGTAGAAGGAAACAGGAAGTTGAGAGGGAGGCAAAAAGGGAAGAGGGGCCAAAAAGTGGTAGAGGTGTAAGGGAGGAGAGGAAATAGATACTTGATTTTCCTTATAGAGATACTCAGTGGAAAGAAGGCCTTATGCCCAAATTCATGTTATGCCTGTGACCTAAAAATAAAAAAAGCCCAAAAGTTTTGCTTCTACTTGTTGATTTAACAATTGTCATTGGAACTATTGTCTCTTTTTGTGCCTTTGTTTTTAAAGTCATAAAATGATCATCCTTTTATATTCTTTTCATCTTTGACTTTTTCCAAGCAATCTGAGTATATATGAATTCTATATTGGCATATTGTTTATATTTATTTGATGATACTATATCAAGTTAAGACAATCTGTTACTTTCTGTTACCACCCTCCTATAGCAACTTCTTTTTTTTATAATAGTTTATTTTTACATCATTTTGTACTTTTTTTTTTTCAATCTCAATTGTAATCCCCTTGTGTTTCCCATCACCGAGTCACCCATGTGCCATCACCATAGTCCAGTGCACTTCCCTCCCCCCACTGTCTTTGATCCCATTCCCCACTCCACCCCCACAAAATGTCTCTGGTATATGGCTGTTCATTATTTTCTCACCTGATCCATTATACTCCTGCTATGAGCGAAACCATAATCCGGTATTTTTCTTTTTTCTTTCTGGCTTATCTCACTAAGCATGACCTTTCCAGCTCCATCCAAGTTGTACCATCCAAGTTGTATAGCAACTTTTTTTTTTTTTTTTTTAGATTTATTTATTTGTGCATACAGAACTGGGGTACAGGCCAGAGGTGCAGGGGCGGTGAGAGGCTTCACCAGAGACAGAGTGGGGAGCAGAACAGGCAGATCAACGAAGTACACTGCTGAGGGGAGCAGCGGGCGGGTCAGGAGAGGTCTGCCACGCCATGTGGTCACGTCCAGGGGAGGTGGGGATCGAACTTATGCGGAAGTGGCTTTAGCATCTTAGTGCTGTGCCTTAACCCGCTGCGCCGCCAGGGAGGGCCCCTATAGCAACTTTTTTAACAGAACAAAATTAGTTATAGTTTTATTTGATAGAATTATATTAGATTTTATCTTACAATGCTAATTTTATTAAATCTCAGTGAATTTCAAAAGTTTCTACTTACCTTGTTTCTATATATCCCACACCTTTAGCAAGAAGATACTACTAGTCAATAAATTTCTTTCCTCCACAGACATTATTATGTTTTACTCCTTTTTTTGAAAGATTGAAATATTTGCTTTATTTTTTCAGTATTCAAATATTCATTAATTTTTTAAATTTTCTTTTTGAGAGCACTATTTGGAAAGTATATAAAAACATACTGCTTTTATAATGCCAGAAAAATGACTGCTCTTTTTGTATTAAGCTTTTTAAACAATGGAGTCACTATCAAGAATCAGCTTATTAATTACAAATAAAACAGTTAATGCTTAATAATCCTGATTTAGTTCTGTTTGCTATGGAGGTTGTCCTGTTAAGCTTTTTTTTAAAAGTTCTTTTCGTATTTATCTTGAACATTGGTTCTTTGTGTAATATAAATACAAATTAAAAATAGAACAGAAATAAACCTTATACTTCCAGAGGAACCTTATTTGGCCACCTCATGCATAAAAGAAAGAAAATGAGATAGGGAGTAGAGCAAAATGATAGTTTAAATTATTAAATATGTATGTAAAGAAAAAATAACTAAAGATTAATGGAAAATCTCAATTAGAAGTTGGTGAGTAATACAGGCCATGTTTAAATTTACCTTTACAGCATATAGGTTGTAAGGTTTATTAAAACAACAAATAATGCCCAAAGACAATGGCAGCTGCCACCTTGACCTCATGGTGGATTAGATAGCTTGGGTGGTATGTTGAGAATTTGGGGTCTGTCCTCATCAAGCCCAAAGTCCCTTTCTGACCTGCCTACTGATATATCCCTATGACAGTTTTGCTTCAGGTCTGACCCATCCTTCTCTGGACTCAGATTGTTTGGAAATTTTTTGTCCACGAGGGGATGATTTATTAGAGTTGTTATTTGAAATCCTTCTCTTCCATATTCCTCTTTTATGTTAAAATCTTTGTGCATGAAGTAAATCAGTCAAGGAAGCAAGCAGTCTATGTCATTGCTTAACCTTTAGGGGAGCAGTTTTGTTTAGGTCTTCCAATTAATTGTTTGCATATACTACGACTATCTCGGAGATATTCTTGAGGAATATTAGAGTAATGTTTGTAGAATCAGACATGTTGGGGAAACTATGTTATACTTACTCCTTGAATGTTTATATCGCACAATAGAATGTAAAATGCTTAGAGAAATCATTTTGTTCATTTAGCTTTGCTTAATCCATTGTGTCCTAAATTTACTTAACTTTGAAAACTGCTAAACTAACTAAATAGTACCTGTTAAATTTTCTTAAGGATATTTGGACTTAAAGAAATTAATGTATAATTAGAATTTATTATTTAGATCTGGCTCTTCAATATTTCTCACTCTCTTTGTTATTTTTAGTTTTTTTGGTAGAGGTTGGTTACTATTTGTAATTGAAGAACATACGCATTTTAGTTTCAAATCTCAGCGTATATCAGTTCAGGAAGCTCCCTTAGTAGGAAGAATATTCTGAATTGGATTTGCTCTATATTTTTAGATATTCCTTTGGTATAGGACTTCTGATTCCTATGGCAGATCCTTATAGAGGTCCTTTGTACTGCCCTGTGACACTCATTGCCTCAGAAGTCTTGTAGTGTAGTCTCATAGTATAGCTGACTTTTTAAGGTTAGGATTGTGGAGCCAGCTTGTTTTTAAATTGCATTTTTATAAGATATTATTAAGAGTATAACATGACCAAGTTCATATTTTAAAACATTGTTTATTTAATGTAATGAGAAAACAAAGATGATATATAAATAAATTCAGACATCTTAGATATTAACCCATCCCCTAAAATTTTTCAAGAGTTATTAAAAAATAATAAAGACTTTTTACTCCTGTTCTCTGTTACCATAAAAGGTAAGTTGCACCAAAAACTAGTCAAATTCAAGGTTCAACACTGACATTTTATAGAACTGGATATTTGAGTTGATTTTACATAGAAAATAAGTGTTGGTACTTCTTATTATAGCATGTTTATTTGTATCCACAGCTCAGCCAGCAGGAGTGCCAGAAATCTTAAAGAAGAGCTTACATAGCTGTTCAGTGAAAGGAGAGGAAGAAGTATTTTTAATTGGCAAGAACTTTCTGAAAGGAACTAAAGTTATTTTCCAAGAAAATGTTTCTGGTAAGTTGGCACAATACTAGTATAGAAATTGTTGCACATTTCACTTTGTTATAAAGACTTAGTCTAGTCACAGTATTTTTAAAAACTTTGTAAATCATTGTTTTTATTTCAATTAGATGAAAACTCTTGGAAGTCAGAAGCTGAAATCGACATGGAGTTATTTCATCAGGTATATGTTAAGCTTTTTTAAAATTTGATTGTTTACTTTCTGAGAAATAATTTTGTTCTGAAATTTTCCTGAATCATAGATTCTATGTGGGATTGTAATAAATATCAAAATTTCTTTCATGAATTTTCTAAACTAGATAAATTATTCAGCTGAATAATAATAATTTATAATGCTGAAACAGTTCTTAAAATTTAAAAGCATGAGTAAATTATCACTAATATAAATTAAATACTCTTACCTAATATTTGTTTGCTCTGAGGAATTATGTTATCTTAACCTAATATTTAGTTACATCAAAGGGAAAACTTACTGAAGTACGTAAGGTGATACATGCCAGGTGGTACATGCATTTAGAAGTACTGTTGTAAGGCTTTGTATTTGTGGGACCCCGCTATGTATCATTGTTCAAATAACAAGGATAAAGAACTTAAAAACAAAGAATTGATTAAGAATTGATAAAGAATTGATTAAGAATTTTTGTATGGAGTAGATAGAACCAAGCTCAAAGAACTTGACACTAGGAGAAAAAAAAGAAAAAATGGTACATCAAAGAGAAGTCAGATGCAGAAGTATAGATAGATAGATAGATAGATAGATAGATAGATAGATAGATAGATAGATAGATAGATAGATAGATAGATAGATAGATAGATAGA